TTGCCCAGGCGGGTCTTGAACCCACGGGCTCAGGCAATCCACTCACCTCAGCCTCCCAAAGTGTTGGGATTACAGGCTGAGCCACCGTGCCCAGCTAATTTTTTGATTTATTGTAGAGATGAAGTCTCGCCATGTTTCCCAAGCTGGTCTCTAACCCCTGGGCCCTGGCAATCCTCTCGCCTCTACCTCCCAAAGTGCTGGGATTACAGCCATGAGCCACAGCGCCCAGCTACAAGGTATTTTTGATCTGGACCCTGTCTACCTCATGCTCTGTACTCTATATCTTTTTATGCACTGTTTCTTCTGCCTGAAACATATGTTCACTTTGTTTGCCTGGGACACTTTAAATCCTCTTTTCAGAGTCAGCCTCATCACCTCTTCTATGAAGCTTTCCTCAAACTCTGAGGTACAGAAGGAAGTCTATTCTCAGGCCATCCCTGGATGGATATGGCACGCACCACAGACTGACCCTTTCTATACCTCCTGTGAGGTCTCATGCCTACATTCGAGGGTCCAGCCCTGAAACTGGGACAAAACAATGGGTGCTGTGCCTTGGTGTGTAGAATGAATAGACCAAAGGAAGTCAGTTATAAGAACAACTGAAAGCTGGCTGGCTGTGGCCAGAGACCCCTGCTCAGGATCTGGGTCCAGGCATTCACTAGTTGATCATAGAACACTCCCCATGCTCTCCACGCTATCTAGTGCTCTAGTCCAGGCTTGCTGCTCTTGGGTAGAGCCACCCATCACATGTCAGGAAACCTCCGCTGCTAGGATGATGTTACAGTCTATTTTGAGGGTCATACTGGAGCATCTGTCAGCCTGGCCAACCACACCCTTCATGTGTCATCGCTAAGAGCCAGGGACACCCACAGATCCATGAACTCTGCTTAAGAAAGTTGTTCCCCCACCTGGGACCCTCAGCTTCAGGGCTAGTCCTGGAAAGATGAACCCAGATGCCGCTTATCTCCTGGCACCACTACCATTGCTATGAGGTCTCCTCGCCCCACCAGACCTGTTCCTGGAGTTCACAACTCTAGTGATTTGGCAAAACACAGCAGAAGCCCATCAGTCTGTGCCAGCTCTTAGCTAAAACACAGCCCCTCCTTCTCCATAGCACACACATGCACACGCTTTCCCCCACCCCCTCTCACATTTGGGGAGTGCCCAGAAAGCCCAGCATCCTGACATCAAGTTAGTTACCAATTAGACTCATAGGTCCAACAGGTCTCGCCTGCTGGGGAACTCCTACTCATCCATCACAACTGTGCCCAGGCTCTGCACCCTCTTGAAGAGAACCTTTCAGTCTAGTATCTACTGAGTAGGATACAGATTTCCTGAGGACAAGGCTGACCTGTGCTGGCTTTACCTCTGTTCTCCCTGCATCTAGTACAGAGCTTGGTACATAGTACCACTTGAAATGAAACCTTTTTGATTTGACTAGCATAGTTTGTTCTACAAACAATATTGTCAGAACAAAGGCCTTTCTGGAGAACAAGGACACTTACAACTGGGTTTATAAATATCACTTACAAAGGAGATGTACTTAAACCTACAGAAAAACAAGTATATAGATTCAATAGTACAGTAAGTTGATGAAGCCCATCCCAAACCATGCCACACTCCTCTGGCCCCACACAGCACTACATACCTTTCAGCTCTGTCAGAATCCTGTAAGAATTCTGTAAGAATCCTGGCTGAGTATGGTGGTTCACACCTGTAATCCCAGCAGTTTGGGAGGCCAAGTCAGGAGGATTGCTTGAGCCCAGGAGTTCAAGATCAGCCTGGGTAACATAACAAAACCCCATCTCTACAAAAAATAAAAGAAAAGTAAAATAATAGAATCCTATAAGAATATGACAGGCCATTCCTTCACTCTACCCCAAGAAGGAATGCAATAGCAGCTACAATAGGGAAAGGCAGCAGCAGCAAGGACACATGTATCTGGGATCAGGCAAGGACATCTGATAAGTTAGGCTTCTCTGCACGACTGCACTACTCCACTGCACACCCTAAGCCAGGCGGCAGCCAGGGCAGGCCACCAAACATCACAGGGAGTTAGGGCTCACCCATGGATACATCATCATCTGCACCAGCCACTTGCCAGAGATGTTGTGAGAATCAAACTAGATAACACAGGACACCTATACAACCAGTTAAAACTTGGGTAATAGACTAAACCAAGATCAGAAATACACCTCCAAAATGGACAAGAAAGGGGGAACAAACCAGTCAATGTCTGACTGCCCTATAACTGCCCTTGGCCTGCTTAAAACCACACCTGGCCCATACCAATATCTGGCTGTGTTTCCAGCCATGAGATGATTTCCAGGGATTCCATAAAGAGATAATGAAGGGCCATTCATACACTTGTCACCTGATAGCAGCCAACTGAAACAGGTTACCATAGACAGACAAGATTCGGAACCTTTTTAAAACTGAGGTTTCCAAATCAGCTCAACAGGTATCTTTACCACATGTGAAATACTGGGAATAGATGCCCACCTTTCTTTAGACTTGCAGGAAACACCTACAGTGAAGCAATCTAACATGACACAGGACCTTTTCCAGCAAGATCCATTTAAAACTGAAATGTTAATAGCCAGTTAAAGGAATTCAAATTTCTAAGTTTAAACACTCCTCTTCTGAAAAGCTTGTCTCTTTGCTCCCTAGCTCAGCTGTTATCTTAAAGGACTACAGAGAAAACAACTTTCCTCCCTACTAAGAAATGCCATGGCCAGGCTCGGTAGCTCAACCTGTAATTCCAGCACATTGGGAGGCCGAGGTGAGTGGATTGCCTGAGCCTGCGGGTTCGAGACCCACCTGGGCAACTTGGAGAGACCTCATCTCTATATTAAATCAAAAATTAGCTGGGCGTGGTAGTGTATGCCTGTAATTCCGGCTACTTGGAAGGCTGAGGCGGAAGGATCGCCGGAGCCCAGCAGGTCGAGGCTGCGGTGGCCGGGAGCATGCCACTGCACTCCAGTCTGGGCGATGGAGTGAGACTCCAGCTTAAAAAAAAAAAAAAAGAAATGCCACTCTGGTTTTTTTTTTGCAACATCAGACTTCAGCACCAACATTTAAATCAACACCATTTTAGAGGTGTTTAAGAGGCCATTCTAGCCATGCACGGTGGCTCACACCTGTAATTCCAGCACTTTGGAAGGCAGAGGCAAGAGAATTGCCTGAGTCCAAGGGTTTGAGACCAGCCTGGGCAACTTGAGACCTCATCTCTACAATAAATCAAAAAATTAGCCAGGCATGGTGGTACACACCTGTGGTTTCAGCTACTTGGAAAGCTAAGGTAGAAGGATCACCTGAGCCCAGCAGGTCAGGGCTGCGGTGGCCATGAGCATGACACTGCACTCCAGCATGGGCAACAGAGTGAGACTCCTACTCAAAAAAATAAATAAAAATAATAATAAAGGAGGTCATTCTCATCCATACTAGTTCAGGCACATTAAATATGAATTCTTCCACCAAATGATAGAAGGGTAAAATAAGAGCTTTAAAGTCCTCTAATAATTATAAGTTTCCGCTGGGCACAGGTGTTCACGCCTATAATCCCAGTACTTTGGGAAGCGGAGGCCAGAGGATTGCCCGAGTCCAGGGGCTCAAGACCAGCCTGGGCAACTTGTTGAGACCTTGTCTCTATAATAAATCAAAAAATTAGCTGGGCATGGTGGTGCACACATGTGGTTCCAACTACTTGGAAGGCTGAGATGGAAGGATCGCCTGAGCCCAGCAGGTCGAGGCTACAGTGGCCATGAGTGTGCCACTGAACTCCAGTCTGGGGGACAGAGTGAGACTCCTACTAAAAAAAAAAGTTACAAGTTTCCTATCTGTAAAGGCACTAGACAGGGATAAAAGTGAAAGATGCAATAGCTTTCTATGATCAGAATTTCAGAATCACAGAATTCTGGGGTTAAAGGAGATGCTTGCCTAGCTCCCCACAGCACAGATGAGGAGACTGAAGCCTCAAGATCTACCCAACACCACAGAGCCTTCCAAGCAGAGAAGTTACAACATCACTGAGGAAGCAGGAAGACTCTGTCTCTGGCAGTCTTGCCCTCAGCACAGTCCCTTGGCCAGGCATTTTGCATGCACCACAAGGGGAACAGTCCCTGGGAGAGAAGAAGTATTCTGAATGTTCAGGAATATACACTCAGGGTTGGCATGAAGGTCACTGGTGGGATTGGCAAACTTTCCATACCAAACCTAATGTCTGATGAGGAAAGCCTTTCCAAGGCAGCTGCAATCATATTATTTAATAACTTAAACACCCATTTTGTCACAATCATTGGAAAAAGGGGTGACTGAGAGAGGAAGGAAGAAGAGAAAGAAAAATGAAAAATCTCCCCCATGATTCCCTGGGTCTGCTTAGATGACCCTAAAATAAGAAGTCTCCCTATGCTGACTTTAATGAGGACCTTCCTAAAGCTGGTCCAACTAGTGTTCAAGTTCATGAACTGAAAAACAAGTCTATGAGCACAAGGTCACCTGATTCTGACCATGTCTATGCTGTTTACTCTGAGATGATAGGCCAGTGGCCACCACAGCTTTGATGAATGCTGCAAAGACTATATTATCCCTTTTAAGCCTACGGGGGCCCCTACATGACTAAATGCCATAAAAACAAAGCTTGAATGCAGCAAGAGTGTAAAAGGAGGGAAGTCACAAAATACCACACAGTAATGGGGGAAGTCCCATCCTGGACACCGAATTTTTAAAAGTTAATTTGTTACTTGTTTCCCCAATCTTTGAGGTATTGAATTATATCATCACTAAAAAAGAGTCTCCAGCTCTACCTCCAATGAACCTACTTGCCATCAAAGTTTGCTGCTTAGACCAGACCATACCCACAATCAAGGAAAAAAAGGCACCTCAGACCCATGCAGCTCAGCAGCTCACATCAATAACAAGTGTCAGCCAGGAGATCTTGAACTCTGACCACGAAAAACAGCTCAATGTTGGGGGAAAGAGGGTGGCAATGAGAGGCTTACCCATCTCTTCCTTTGCTGACAATCTTCACCTCAAAGTAATAAATGCCACAGGCAGCAGGTATAGGATGGGTGGCACGCACCGAGGCTGCATCTTTGTGATTTTTGCCATGACCTAATAGGGAAGGGCAAGGAAGAAATTTCAGCAGAAGGAAATGCAAATGGAGCCTCTTTCTTCTCTGCTTCATGGCAACTTCACCCCTCTGTGGCCAGAGGAAGCCCTTACACAGTCCGAGGAAAAATTAGACAACTGACTAACCATATATACTTCCCACTTTTGGCTCACCTCCTCCTGAAAATAGTAACAGTAACCCTGGCTGAGACACTGTCCTCCATACAAACAAAACAAGGGTATAGGCAACATGGGTGCATGTGAGAGATACCAGAATGCTGCTGGCAATCTCTCCTGAATCCAGGCAGCCCACCTGGGACACCAGGGGAAGGAAGAGGCAGACCTGGAAGACACCCCCTCATCTCTAGCACAGGGGCACAGACCCAGTCTGGGATGCCTGGCAGGCCGGCCAGCCCATGAGCCTCAGGCTAATGGTGGGGATGGGACCACCCCTTTCTTCAGACACTCCCAAAACTAAAAAAGTGGTGAAGGGTCCAGTTGGAGTTGGAGCCATCCTCGGACAAGCAGGGAGGCCCTGGAGTGGAAGGTCCAGTCCTGCATTGGATTTGGACACCTGTTGCAGTTCTCTTGACATAGGGTATCTCAGGGTAGAGAGAACAGGCAGTCAACCCTCGGCCTGATCAGTCCCACCATCCTGGACACCCCGAAAGGGCCAAGCCCTTACCCAGAGTACCTCGGCAGAGAAAGGGATGTGATGGGGCAGGAGCCGGGAAGCACGACCACCCTGCAGACGCTTGGCCTTGTCCCCCCGCGGCCTGACGGGCTGATACCTTTGTAGTGGACGCGGAGGTTGCCCTGGGAGAGGCCAATGTAGTTGTACTTGTCCTTGGGGCTCCAGGAGCGCGGCAGCGGCGTCTCTTGCTGGTTGACCGCGGGGTACAGGCGCTGCAGGCGCCGGCTCAGCTCCTGCTCCGCTGGGGACGGCAGCCCGCCCCCAGCACCCCCACCGGAGGTGTCTCCAGCCTGCGGGCTCCCAGCTCCCAGGTCCGCCGTCGCCGCCGCCATCTTGGAGGGAGCTGCTATTGTGTCACTGGAGGCGGGGAGGAGCGGGACCAGATCTGCCCCACTCAGCCAATGGCCCGCGAGCCTCCCGGGGCCGTAGGGAAACCGAGTCCAAGTCTGGCACCTCTCTTTGGACACTGCCACGCCTCTCCATATTTCGAACTCCATATCCCACAATGCAGAGCTACCCCGAGGCGGACCAACTCAGGCTTGTAGGCACCTCTGGGAGATGTAGTATAAACCTGCTCAGCCATAAGCCTGTCCAATGGGGGTCACGGGACACCGAAAACTACAATTCCCGCCAGCAAAGCGGCACGGGCCGCTCGACTCACCTCCCGCCCCCAGGGCCCCTGTTTATCCTCCTACCTCAGTTCTGGTAGCCAGGGTCAAATCCGCTGTAGTGACTGACTCTCAGGGCATCTGCTCCGAGGTCCGAGTCCACCTTTGCTACTTGGCCTTCCTCGGAACCCACGGGAGAAAGACTCGGGGGCGTGGTGCAACCCTGACCCCGCCCTCATCGCGGGGCTGCTGGGGCCTGGTCGCCATGGCGACGGGTTGTACACTACCACAGCTTCCCAGCCCGCGGTTGCTGGCTGCTCGCCTGCCCGAGGGTCATGGCCTCGCAGCAGCCGTGGTGCTGCAGCTTCTCCTCCGCGTCGAGGTAGGCACTGTCTGGGCTGAGGGTGGAAAAGAGGGCTTGAGTACTCCCAGAAAGGGCGCTGGCACCTGATCCGGACTTCTGCACCTCTATCCATTGGTCTGGGGCTCCAGCCCCCCAGAATCAGTGGTGCAGAAACAGTTCGAATCCTGGCTGACTTAGCCTAGTGAAGATGTTACGTGCTGGCAAAAGGGCAGGCGCACTTTATCATTAGTAGTAACAGCCAGAGTGTGTTGAACACATTATGTGCCAACTACATTTACCTCTCACAACAACTCTATAAGTAAAGAAATACTTTACTTGTTCTATAAGTAAAGAAATACTTTACTTGTTCTATAAGTAAAGAAATACTTTACTTGTTCTATAAGAACAAGTAAAGAAATACTTTACTTGTTCTATAAGAATAAGTAAAGAAATACTATAAGAAATACTTGACTTATTCTGTTACTACTAATGATAAAGTGCGCCTTCCGGCTACTCGGAAAGCTGAGGCGGAAGGATCGCCGGAGCCCAGCAGGTCGAGGCTGCGGTGAAGGGGAGCAGCCACTGCACTCCAGTCTGGGCGACAGAGTGAGACTCCAACTCAAAAAAATAATAATAATAAAATAAAGAAATACTTTAGAAGCCTGGAGAGATCATTTGTTTTACACACACTTGTAAGTGGTGGAGTTAAAATGTGAGCCAAGCTATATCCAACTCTTTTTTTTTTGAGTTGGAGTCTCAC